TCCCTCTCCCACTCCCCTTGCTTGTGTTCCCTCTCTCGCTGTGTCTCTCTCTGTCAAATAAATAAATAAAATCTTAAAAAAAAAAAAAGATTTTTATTTTTAAGTAATTTCTACACCCAATGTGAGGCTCAAACCTATAACCCCCAGATCAAGAGACACACTCTACCAACTGAGCCAGCCCGGCACCCCCAAATAATAATTAAAAAAAAAAAAATCACCTTGTATGAAGTGACAGACTCTTCCTGATCAGCATTTTTGCACTTTTTCCCTGTGTCTTGTTCTGCAGATGTACTTTCTGAACTTCCTGATGAAATTAATCGCTTTCTTCCTTGCTGTGTTACGTTTACTTGAGTTTTATCTTTGCAGATTCCTTCTTTTCCACTTTCCTGGATTATATTATTATCTTAAACACACAATGAAAAAGAAGAAAAAAATTATCTCCTATATCTTCAAATGTCAAAAGAAAGAAGAAAAAGGATAAAAGGGCAATTAAAAGTAAAGTTCCATTAAGATTAATGCCAACTTGAAAACACTTATTTGCAAATCTCAGAAAGTATTAAGCAGCACTTTGGCCTGGAGCTCCAGCCCCGGAGAGAGCCAGGCCAAGATGCTAATATGAACAGGTGCCATCCTTGAACTGCTTCACCGTGCCTCTCTGAACTCTGGTTTTATCATCCCAAAGAAAGGAATTATAATAATAACTCATAGAGTTACTAGGAGTAAACGAGGTGTGATATATAAACTATATAGCAGAGTATGTGATATGTGTTAAATATATATGTCTTTTATTTTAGCACTGAATTTCTCTAACAGAAAATTTAACATATAGCTATCCAATGAATTTGACATACAATTATATGTCATACAATTATTGAGCCCCTAACATCCGCAGTGAGGAATTCAACTTAATAACAGATTAAGAACCCAAAACAACCCAAAAGCAAGAGTGACCTCCACAAACTTCACCAATTTCGAAAACAAGTCTCAGTAACAATGGACACTGTACCCCATATAATATTTACCCTAGGTTCAATATATGTGGCAAACCTAAGTCAGTATCATATTTTGTTAATAAATCCATGATCCCTCTAATCAGAAAAAAAATCTACTCTTTTTAAGAGGACAATCTTCATGTTTAATTATCTGTCTCCCCTACATTCAAATAACAACTTCACGAGGACAGAACTTTATGTGTCTTGTTCACTGTTCCCTCCTGGTATCTACAGCACCTAGAAATGTGTCTAGCATAAAACTGGTGCTCAATAAATGTTTGACTAAATGAATTGTGAACATAAACAGAATTGGTCCAAAGATTCCCTTGAGAGCCTGAATATAGGTATGTAAGGCAATCCATAGTCACTAATGTTCTAAAGCAAGGTTTGGCAAATTTTTCTACAAAAAGCCAGAGCGTAAATATTTTAAGTTCTGTTGGTCATATAGTGTTCTGTCATAACTACCCAACTCTGCCTTTCTGGTGCAAAAGCAGCCACAGACAATACATACAGGGATGAGCATAGCTGCGTTCCAGTAAAACTTTATTGACAAAAACAGTCAGCATGCTGGATTTGGCTCAAGGGCTAAGGTTGCTCAGATTTGTACTAAAGGATATTCAAGTGGCCTGAAATAACAGTCCTTCATTAAAGTTAGGAAAGAAATACCATCCACATTATTTAACAGTGAAGTCAATTGAACCAACATAAACATAATGTATTTACATAAGAAACTTAGGAATAAACTATTCAATAACTAAACTTTACCTAAATTACTCAAATATTTGCTTTGAATCTAAATTAGGAAGATTTCATATCATTTTAGAAACTGTCAGGACTATACAGCTTCATGCAGCAAATGTCCAAATGCTACAATAGACATGAGTTAGTCAAATGAAGAGAAATAATCAACTAACAGTACTGCTTACTATACTAAGAACTAAAAATGTAAATTAAGACACAACATCTGCCCAAATGGCAGTTTACCATATTTCAAGTGTCACACATGTACATAAAATCATAAAATTAGGAGTGCCTGAGTGGCTTAATCAGTTAAGCATCAGACTCTTTCTTGGTTTTGGCCCAGGTCATGATCTCGGAGTCGTGAGACTGAGCCCCAACTAGGGCTCTGCGCTCAGCACAGAGTCTGCTTGAGATTCTCTCCCTCTGCCCCTCCCCCCACCCCGAGCACGCTCCCTCGCTCTCTAAAATAAATAAAATCTTTTTTAAAAATCTTAAAATTAGGGTTTTGGAAAAAAGATGGCGGAGGAGTAGGGGACCCTATTTCAACTGGTCCCCGGAATTGAGCTGGATATCCACCAGACCACTCTGAGCACCCACGAAACCAGCCTGAGATGTAAGAAGATCTGGATCTCTACAAGCAGAATATTGCAGGCAGTTGGTTTTGAAGTAGAAGAGG